AAATATATTTATTTAATTGTAAGTTAATATGTAAAATTTTGTGTAATTACATTTTAATTCAAATGTATCAAGTTGGTATATCATGCTTAATAAGACGACTAATATCTTATTACTAACTCAATAATTAATAGGTACTGTAGAATCTAACTATGTTATGCTAGCTTGCATATATCTTTATAATATTTATACTATTTTAAAAATATCTTTTTATATTCTTACTAGTATCTTGTACTCTCTAAATAATTAGATTCTTTCAATTTAATTAGCTACTAAGCCAAGTTAATATTACTGATCAACAGATTATTTATACCTTTGTATTTGAGTTTTCTTCTTTAGATTTTGAGTTTTACTAGTATGATTATCAAAAATTATACTATTTTACTACTTAAGATTTTTACTATATAGATCTTCTACTTGTAAATTTTATTAAAATTTATTTGTATAGTATTTATAATATTATATTATATTTTTAATATCTGATCAACTTAATATAGCTTGATTTACAAAATTATAATTTTAAAAGCAAATAAAGTTTTTTATAACTCAATTACAAAGATCTAAATAATATTCAAATTTTATTGATAATTAGATTTAAACTTTAGATCTCTTATATAATAGTCTGATAATCTAATTATTACTAAGATCACTAAACTATAGTATACTTCTTAAAACTCTAAAAATATTATTCAAACCTTTTTTGCTAATTATATTTAATACTTTTTTGTTTCTTATTTATCTATTTTTTTTTGATATTACTCTATTTAACCACTATCTTAAACAATTAAATAATTTTTTTTTTGATAATCTTTTCTTTACTTGAAACTTTTAAACAACTTTAAGAAATTTAAAATTCTCTATAATAATTTAAACAATTGTAAAAAAAATTCTTTTGAATTTAATAATCAAGTATAAAATAATTTAAGCCAAGTTTGAAAAACAAAAAATATAATTATTGAACTCCAATTTATCTCATCTTTACTTTCTTATAATGAAAAAACAATTTTTTTTTATAAGATAGAAATAGAACTCTCTTATCTTCTTTTATCAACATACCTTTTGCATCTTCTATTCAAACCTCTAACCTTCAGATAGTTCAATCAACTCTTCCTTCTCATTATATCTTTAATCTTGTTACTTCTAGAATTATTCAATAAACTCATCAACTAACTAATTTTATTACTAGAACTACTCTTTCTTCTAATCTAATAGATAATACTCTTGTTATACTCAAAAACTTCTTCAATCTAACCGCTCTCTTGAAAACTCACTTCTCTCTCACCATACTCCTCCTAATATTCTATCTTCTCAACAACAACCTCGTCTTCTCCCTCAAGTTACTACTTCTCAAATTACTAAAATCTTAATAAAATTTGAATTTGAACTAAAAAAAGACTGGATCAACCCGATCCTTGGATGGATCGAAGGACCGTTAGTTCGGACTGAATCGATTAACGTCCCTAGTTGAAAATTAGCAAAATTTTCTAAATTGAACCGTAAGTTTATATAATAATTAAAATACTATGTACTGTAAATACATTTATAAGATCTTTTTAATTACTATTAATAAAGTAATGTGAATAAAAGATCAGCCAAGATGCTTTAATGGTATTGTTCGATATTGCAGATAGTACTCTAAAAATTTTATTACTAACTGTATATTTTAATATAAATATAGTAAACATTATTAATCACGAAATAAGTCTTGCTTGAAAAGATGTTTGTTAACTAATCTTATATTTAATAATAATATATTAAAATACAAACTTTCATTTCTTATTTTTTTTAGAAATAAGGATAATATTTTTAGAGAAAATAAGTTAATCCAAAATTACAATACTGTATATATAAATTGCACAAAAAGAAAGACAAAATGCTAGAAAACATCAAGCAAATTTACCAATAAAAATGTTTTACAATTCCCTATGTAAGTTGAAACCATCACTTCATAACTTAATAAAAACAAGGAATCAAATCTTTACAAAAAACCAAACTCCGGAAACCACAGATAATAATTGCAATATCAGCCAAAATGATAGTGATAAGAATTAAAACGGGATAGAAAACCAAGTAATATACAAATTTCCGATTGATCTAAAAAAAGTAAAGCTCGTCAGTATCGATAAGAAAATTTCAATGACTTCGCTAGCCATAGTTATTAATAGACAATCTTAAATACGAAATGCTGTAATATAAGTATAAGCATTAAATTAAATCTTACCAAAATAACAAATAGGTTATGATCTCATTTATCAAGGGATTAAATAATCAATAATCTTTTCGATCGTTTTTTCAATCATTTCACGAAATAATTGTTCCTCTATAAAAAAATAAATAAAAGTTTTAAATTCAAAAAGAAGTTTAAAAATTAGCAATTGCTATTAAAGCAATTAAATTACTTACCATTACCAACAATAGGTCCGATAGCCGCATTTTCCAAAAGATTGGCCTCTCTTGCTTCTGGATGAGTTTTAATGAATTCAGCTCGTGCTTTTGTAGCAGCTTCTTTGATAACTTTTTCTTCATCTTCAGTTTTATATAAATCACATTTGTTGCATTTTTTACATTTTTGTCCAGGTATCGGTCGAAAGTGATCACAAACTATTACAGTAAAAAATAATCCATAATCCAATTAGATCTAACTGCGAAAAATACCATACATATGTTTAAAACTTACAATGAGCATAAGACTCCTGACGCAAGTCTTTTCTGCACAAATAGCACATGACATACCCTACAATAAACCAAATTTATGGGTTCAGTATAAAAAAATATCAAAAAAACAAAAAAAAATAAAAACAAAAAAAAATAAAAAAATTTTCACTTACCACAACGGCATGTCATTTTATTACAACCATCTGCCTTTGTAAATGACACATGACACTTGGGACACTAAAAAATAAGAAATCCATTTAGCATTAACGATATTCATGATCGTTAACTGTCACAAATTTAATTATTTTTAGTAGTATTGAGTAATGATAAACGTACCGTTCTTTTGACAGCTTCGGCCATGGCCCTTTCTACAAAGAGACGTAAGCTATCTTGCTCTTGTTCGTAACATTTGTGAAAAGGTCTACATTCTCGATTGCATAGCATACATGATAATTTAGCGCAATCAGGATTCTGACACTTAAATACATTTCCTCTGCGTCTTCTCTTCACCTAAATCAATTGACAAAAGCATTAAAACTAAGAAAAATAAACATTTATCAATAAATAAATTACTTACTCTTTTAACTATATTTTCAAATTCATCAAGAAAAGGTCGTAAAGGAAACACACCTAGTATCCATAATGCTATTTGAGGAATTACAAAAATGGCAGCAACTTTCAAAGCGCTAGTAACGTTCTCATATGATGAGAAAAATGGTAATATCGCTAAAGGAATGCTAACCACTATCACAGCAGATTTCGGAATTTTTAAATGACGAAATGGACTGTCATCATCAGCCTCGCAATAAGAACAAAATGGGCATTGAACGAGAGATAAGTTTGCTTGTTTTAAAGAATGTTCTATGAGAGATTCAACATAATGCTTAAAAACATCAGGTATCAAAGTTGCTTTAAGTTGTTCCTCTGTAAAGTAACCATCACATCCACTTGATTCTATGCAATTAATTTGTTTTCCTCGTAATGACCCTTGACCATATAAACCTTCTTGTACAAGATGATTAATGCATTCTTTACAAAATAAATGTCCCTCAGTACAACATGCTAAATCCTCGAAAGCATAATCACCATAACAACATCCACAAGTAATGAGTTGATCATTTTTTGTATATTCCATAAAATTAACTTGTTTAGCAACCTCATAATCAGCTCTTGATTGTTCTTCTAATCGATTTATATATATTTTCCGAATTTCTTCATTCAATTCAGGATTCTCAAATTCTTTATACATTTTTCGACGAAAAACGCTGAAAATAGAATTCCACCAATTATTTGTCGTCAAATCCCGAATTTTAGCGAAACTCTTAGTATAATCAAAATTATTCTCAGCAAGGACAGCTTTTACAGTGGATTTCCAAGTATCAGGAAAATCATTATATAAACGATACCTAACAGCTTTTATATAATCAGGTGATCTAATAAGTTCCCATGGTTCAATAATAAAAGGGTTAAGTCTACGAGGATAACCTTTTGAAGATTTTTCCATATTTAATAATGTTTCTGTAATTTGTTGTACATGACTATGATCAAAGCAGCATAACTTTTCGCGAAGGAAACTAACATCACATTCAGGAAATAATTCATTTAACTGTTTAAGATAAATGTTTTTTGCTTTTGTACAATTAGCACTACGACAATTATTCGGTATTATTGGATAATGACCCTTATTCTGGTTACATATTTTTTCGCTTATTCGTTCAACATGATTATCTTGGTAAAATTCAACGCAATAACTTAAGTATCCAGGATCTTTGATAAAGCGATCGTATATAGTTAGAATAATAATATTTGTGTATAAAATCGATTACAAAGAAATCTAAAGAGACGTACCAGCTTCAGGAAATAGAGCCAATAATTGTTCAATAATGGAATCCTTCTTTGGATTAGAGGTATTATTTGGGGTCTCTATGTTCATTAACGAGTTAAACAAGCTTCCTTTACTAAACATATTGAAAAGGAAGTAAACGGCGATTCTATGCTTTTATCCTTTTAAGCAATGAGTGAACAGGTTGCGAATCGATTTTTATATCAAACTTTATATCAAACTTTAAAAAGGAAATGTGAGACAATTTTCATTTGATAATGCTATGAGTATCATGATCTAAAAGCATGTCAAATAATTACTTTATTCCTTTTCGATTCGCTGAGTTGCATGCATCATGTGCTGTAAACATTAATATTAATACCAGAATACCACAAGAATTTAAACAAGTTTATTTTTATTGGTCATCTGATTTCTATTTTAAAAACTTTATTACTGTTACACGAATTTATCTGACCAATTATTAAAATTGAAGACATAACAAATAACTTGATAGAAAACCTATTTTTTTCAATTCGGAAATGTTATCATTATCGTTATGACTCGTTTGTGAAATTTGGGCATTACGTAGCGTTAGCCCAATGCATAAAGTTCGTTCATTATTGGTTCTTGACTATTTCTTATTGTAAAAAAAAAAAAATATACCTTAACTTTAAAAGCTTATATCTCGATGAAATTCCGAAGGTATTTTTAATGCTTTATTTTTAAAATAGCTTGAAAATTCATCAAGATATAACTTAAGCTTTTAAAGTTAGAGTATCAGATATCTGATATAGAATTATTTTTTTAAAAATTGTAATCTGAGAAAAAATAATGAATGACGCACTTTATACATTGTGCTAACGCTAATGCCCAAATTTCACTAATGTGGAACCTTAAAAAACTAGCTAAAGACTATCTACTGTATATGTTTATTTGTTATAAGTGCACATGAAAATTTGTAATATTACTAATATCACAATTTTCATGTGATACTAGAGGTCTTACCCAGGTCGAAAAATACTGACCCGGGCGGGTTAGGTATTGACCCGGGTTATAACCCGGGTCATACGGAAATTTATGTTAATTCTTAAAACGACTCTTAATTACTATTATATAAAGAGCATCTTACTTCAAATATTTAAACTGGACTTGAATAAAATTTTTTTTTTTTTTTTTTTTTTTTTAAGCAAAGCCAAGATGAGGTTATGTTTCTATCTTTATTAATAATTTAATTAAGAAATTTTTTGTATACTATATAATAATTTTAAACTATATAACAAGATTTGAAATTTAGACTAATTTATCTGTGATCTAAACCTACTATATAGAATAGTCATGACTCATCTAGATTTAGATATTGATAATATTATTAGTTGAAATACTATATTTAATCTATTTAATAAATCAAAATATAATTTGCAATAAGCTAATTTTTTAGAAATATATAGGGAGTTTTTGTGTTGTTTTTTAGAATAGCTATAATTTTATTTGAATTTGAGTAATTATATATTAGAAGTAAGTTTGATTATATAGTATTAGCTTATAAAGTTTGTTTATGAAAGTTTATATTATTTATTTTTATTTAGAAAGTTTGATATAATAAGATTTTTATAATTACTTATATATTGATTCTGATATTTTTATGAATAATTAAATTATAAAAAAGGTTTGGTGATCTTAGTGTAGTAGTTAGGTTACTAGACTACTATGCAAAAGGTTTAAAGTTTAAATCTTACTATTAATAAATTTGAATAATTATCTGAATTTTTGTATTCAAATTTTAGTAAATTCTGTTCATTTTTAGGATTATAATCTTATAAATTAAGTTGTATTAAGTTGATTGAATATTGGAAGTATAACATAATATTATATAAATAAATTTTAATAAGATTTATAGGTAGAGAACCTATATAGTAGAAATCTCAAATAGTAAGATAGTATAATCTTTGATAGTTATATTAGTAAAACCTGAAATCTGAAGAAGAAAATTCAAATATAAAAGTATGAATAAGTCTAATTTGATAATTAGCAATACTAATCTATTAGGCAGCTAACTAGATTTGAGAAAATCTGACTATTTAGAAAATACAAAATATTTGTGAAGTTATAAAAGATTGTAATTAAAATTATATGAACATTACAAGAGTTTAATCTTAATAAATTCATAAAATAAATACAAATCATTCTGGTAGATTTACTTTGAGATTAACTAGTTTTGTAATATCTACAATATGTTAGGTATAATATAACTCAAGAAGACCTAAGCTAATTTGAAAATAGATCTATAATAAGCTAGTTAGCTTAAGTAGTTAGATGTTGTAATAATATTAGAATTAAATTTGTATAAATTAATAAACAGAGTATTTAAATAGATAACTTATAGATAAATTACAGGTATAGTAATATAATATAAAACTAATCAGATAGTCTAATCACCTATACAATGAAATACTTAAAATAAATAATAACTAAAGTTGTATATATAGCTTGTTATATACTCTTCATATAATTACAAATAGTAGAGATTATCAATATATAATCTCATATACAAAACTAATTAAATTCTGTTAATAATATAAGCTATCTTAAATATAAAAAAATAGAGTTATTAATGGAGTACTCCAAGCTATAATAAAATATATAAACCACTCTAGTTTTATTTTTTATTTTTTATTTTTTTAATTAAAGGCGACTTACTTTGCTAAGCGGATTTTATTAGTTTAATATATGAGATCGTCTGTTGACAATCTCTTACAGTTTGTAATTACATGGTGAGTGTACAACCTGCTACACGTACAACTTTAGTTATTGTCTAATTTATGTAGTTCGCTATACAGGTAGATCACCTGTTTAGTTCTACATAAGCTGCTATATCTGTAACTCGCTTATGAGTTACCTATTTAAACACTCTGTTCATCTAACTAATACTGGAATCAACTAACATCACTGTAATACCTAACTGCTTAAGCTAGCTAGCTCATTGCAGATCCATTTACCTAACTCAGCTTAGGTCCTCTCGGGATGCGTATTGCTCAATATATTGTAGCACGCAGAGCTCCAGTTAACTTTGTAAGCAATCCTACTAGAGCAGTCCGTGCCTATTTCACGAATTTACCTAGTTTAGACCCTTGCAGATATTTGTACAACCCCAGTTCCTACTGTAGCTCTCCACCAGTTTTCCGTGTCTATCTTCTCAGATATTTTATGAAGCAGATCTTCCCAATTCAGTTAGCCGCCAAGCTAGGTTAGTGTTACTGATCCTCTCTGTAGAACGAATTTATGTGCACCTGACTCGATTAGCATCTTTTGACGATAGTTTCTTTTCTGGATCAAGTATTAGCTAGTGTAACTATCAAAAGCCGTACTACTTTACCAACTCGAGATTTCTACTATGCAGGTCTCCTGCCCATAGATCCTATCAAGATTTATTTGTATAATATTATACTCTCCGAACATTCTATCATATTTCTAATATCTGAATGATATTGGTACAACATAATTTACAGAGTTACAACTTCAGAAACGGACAGAGTTTACCATAAGTTAGGTACAAAGGTCTGAGTAATTATTCAAATTCATTGACAATAAGATTTGAACTGCAGACCTTTTGCATAGTAGTCTGGCAACCTAACTACTATACTAAGATCACCAGACCTTACCACTTCAGTTTTAAACTAGAGTGGTTTATATGTTTTATTATAGTTTGAAATACTCTATTAACAACCTTATAAAAAAAAAAATAAAGTTATAAGCTAGCAAGCAAATTTGTAAAAATTAATATTATAGATATAGTAGTTAAATAAGATTATTTAATATAAAGTTTATTTTTTTTATTATTAAAAATAGCTTATATTACTGAAAAAATTTTTTAGTATTGCAAACAGGATTATATATTGATAATTTCTTTTTTTTTTTTTTGTTATTAAAGTGACTTATATTGCTTAAGGAATTTTATTAGAATTGCATATGGGATATCTATTGATAGTCCCTATAGTTTGTAATTACATGAAGAATATACAATAAGCTACATATATAACTTTAGTCATTATCTATTTTAAATAGTTCACTACTCAGACGATTAGATTATCTGATTGGTTCTATACTATACTGCCATACTTGTAACCTATCTGTGAGTTACCTATTTAAACACTCTGTTTATTATCCTATACAGATCCAACCTAACATCACTACAACACCTAACTACTTAAGCCAGCTAGCTTGTTACAGATCCATTTATTCAGAATGGCTTAGGTCCTCTTAGAATATATTGTACCTAATGTATTGTAGGTATCGTAGAGCCAGTTAATCTCGAAGCATATTTACTAGAGTAGTCTATACCTATTTTACAAATTCATCTAGCTTAGACTTTTATAAATATTTGTATAACCTTAGTTCCTACCATATCACTCCATTAGTTTTCTGTATTCTATCTTCTCAGATATTTCACAAAACAGATTCTTCTAATCTAGTTAGCCATCAAACCAGGTT